AGCTACCAGAGGCACTCAAAGGCAACTGAGGCTAAAGATAATAAAGCTGCCCCATACATGCCCACTTCCATAGGATTTAAAAACCAATTTCTTAAATTCTCAGGCAGGTTTATGCCTTTGGAGAATTGTTTTCCATTTATTTTTAAACTGTTCATTTGAAGCTCTTTTCCCTTCACATGAGACGCTTGCTGTCATTTTGAAACTGCAAAATCTATCTTCTGTAATTACAACATGGGACTATAGTGTTATGTCAATATATTTTATTAGTCAGTATACACAGTGTGCAATTAGTGACTCACTACAGACACACACTGAGAAACCGAGGGAGAGTTCAGCTGCAGAGATATTCCTTGCCATTTGATTCCTTGAAGGGGCTGTATAACAAAGTCATTTGCTTTATTTCTGGTTTGCATGTGATTTTTTTTAATCCACATTACGAAACACAGGGAGATTTAGCAATTTCAGGTTATGAATCAGATGTTGTTTAAAATCAGAGGCAAACATGTCTTGCTGTTCCCAAGAACTGATAAACTATTTAAAATGCTTCAGTTACATACTGAAGTAGCAATCTTCCCTCAACCCCCTCCCCATGTCAGTTGTTCACACCAAGTCTATTAGAAGACAAAAATTCTCCTTTTCTGGCTTGTGGGAACACTGAAACATGCCACAACTGACAAAGGTTTCTGCTATGATCCACAAAATAACTGGAATAAGAGTTGTAGCCATGTTGGTCTAAGAAAACAAGCAGGCAGTGTACTAGAGGTGATATCTTATATTATCTTGTATAATCTTATAAGATATCGCCTCTAGCACAGTGACCACAAAGTAACTGTCAATCTTCCTGGCTCCTCCCATACAGTCTTATGCCTAGCAGGTGCAAGGCACCTGGAAAAGGGAGGTGAGGGGCCTTTGTGTTTCACTAAGAAGCAGAACATACCAGTGATAAATCCAGAGGGCTACTGAGCCCTTGGCTCCCTGCAGCTCTGAGAAGTAAACCCTTTCTAAATCATCCTGAAACAGTGGGAATGGAACACTTAAAATACTCTCTCCAGGCAGACTAATGGTGATGCTGTGCTTTCTCCCTCTGCCTGGCTACAGTCATCAACATGTAAAGCACATATCATGCACATTCTGATTTGACACACAGGTCTAAGCTGTCTGGGTTTTTGCTGCTTCCCCGGCCAATCAGTCCTCAAGACTGTGAATCCTATTTCCAGCCCAGCTATTAGACACCATGCATTTCCACTTGACAGAATGGAGCTCTTTTAGCATCTTGTTACTGTGCTGAATCACAATTTTGAGACCCTTTTTGTTTACTACATTTAAATGAGGCTGAATAGAGTTTCCTAGAGAGCCAGGCATACCACTTCAAGCTACACAAAAGGTAAGAAAGCTGCTTTTGTGAATTCTCCAGCACACTCACTGAGGTCTGTCTGGAGCAGATAAAAATCTGTCAGAAAGCAATACTCTGAAATTGCTAATACTGTGGCCTTGTGAAGAGGTCACTTGGAAGATCTAGGGTATGTATTTTATCACAATATTAGAGGAGACTCTCTCTGGGACAACAGAGGTACTACCCTACAAATTAAAAAAATCCCTTTCATTCTAACACTTCTAACTCATTGCAGTAATAATCGCAGATATTGAAGTAACAGAATGGCTCCCCCAGATGAAAAATCTGAAGGCTGGACATCCCAGTCTTCAGTAAGATAAGCTCCAGCAGACAGCACTCGCTGAAGAGCAGAGCTGCCACAGCAGACCACTGCAGTGTCCTTCCAAAAGAGCCTCTAGTGCTGGATACATCCAAGGCTTGCTAAAACAGGTTAAAGCATCCCACCTAAGGGTCTGGCAGGGGGCTTTAGTGCTTGAGGTAAACAGATTGATCCTAGGTACAAGAAAAAAAGGGGCTGACAGACAGAGAAGGTCATTTGGCTTTTCTCAGAACAGCAAGTATTTCAAAATCTTCCTGTAAGCACTTTGCACATATGGCAATGGAAATTAAAGATTAAGAGAGAGGGAACAGATTGTACCAGATGTTTCCTTAACTTATTCCATGAAATATAAACACCTATCAGAATTACACATTTGTGAGGTGAGCTGCAAAGCTTAACTGAAAATAGCTAAGCCCAGATTTGTGCCGAATGCCTTCAACAGCCAGGATACTTACTTTACCATAAGATCCTCCGAAATCCACCAGCCTACAGTTCACAGTAAATGACCTAGAGCACATCATTCCAGAACAGAGGCCAGAACAACAAGCACTGAACATGGGGACTTTTGACATCCACAATATCCCAGAATATGTGCTCTGAGACAGCCTTCGAGATCTTTTCATGCTTGTTTTACACCAACGACCAGTGTGGTGTGCTTTCATTTTCCTTGCCAAAATTAATTCCCTGGCACAGCCTTCCCTGAATTGATCCAGTTCCCTTAAAAGCTGTCACCCTGACCAGCAAATCAACTCTCAATCCTCATATTTGGTTAGTCAGGGTAGGCATTCCCCAGCATTGTGCCTCAGTTTTATTTTGGGGAATGCCATTTATAGGAAAGCAAGGCCTTTTCAATTCTCTGCCACTTCAGAATTAAGAATCCACTTTTTGCAGCTCCGAGTTCAATGTTGCAATACGGAGACATACCCCGCTAAGAACAGGGCAGCCTGCCACCTAACCCTCAGAAATCACATGGTTATTACTTATATGGTCTGGAGGTGGATAAGTAAAGAATCTATAAGGTTCTTTACCTCCAAGTCTAATCCTCTGGGGCAGGGGTAAGCCAACCTGCGGCTCTGGAGTCCAAACTTCCAAGTCCAAACTAAGTAACGTGCTCACTGTGAGCAGCTGCGTCACGTGATGTGACGTGACATAACAGCTATGGAAGCTGGTCACCATGTGCTTGTGCAAAGATTCAAGGAGACCCATATTAACTTCTGAAGAGCCGCAGGCTGGCAATCCCTGCTCTAGGGAAACCCATTACCCTGGCTCATGGACTCTATCAAAGTCAACAGGGTGGAGTATCAAAGAAAGCTGGCACCTAACAGCCACTATGGGCATTCTAGTTGTCCCTTGCATCTCCTCCTCTGCCAGATTTCCATCCACAGGTTCAGCACAAAGTCTGGAGAGGTGCCATTCTCTCAGGCACGTCCAAAGGGCCCATATGCAGTGACTTCACGATGACTCAAATGGAGCTGGCTGAACCCCAAATACTGTTTAAATCAAACAAAGGGAGGCTAAAGAGCGTTGATTAAAGTTTCCTTAGCACCTGTCATAATGCCACACTTAGTCTTGCCCTACTGTATACATCCAATGTCCAAGCTGAATAGGGTCTCTGTTTGCCCAGCTGTTTCAGACTTCAGATACTTGACATGAAGCCTTCCAAGCATGACACAGCTTCCAGCAGTGGAATGGATTACACAGGTCCTGAGTGCTTTGTTAAAGGAGTGATGTGGCCAGCATCATGTCCAGCTGCCTTTAACACCCATGCCTGAAGAACCAGGCTTCCATCCACAGCTGGGCTGACTGGCTATAAAGATGGGCAGTTTGGTTCAGTGTTGACCTTCCACCAAAAAAAAAAACTATGATCTCTCTCATTCTCCGTACTTCCAAAACATTATCTTATCAAAATCCCCATCAAAAGTTGCCTCAGGATTTACCTCCTCCCTGAAAATCTGAGGCAAAAGACTAAAACACGGCTGTGGAGACTGAATTGTCCAGTGAGTCTTAGAGGAAGCTTCTGCAGAGAGCAGCAGATGGGGGAATGTAGGCTCATGCGCACACACAAGAAGAGAACATACTTACGTTGCTGCAGACAGTTCTCCTCTGTCGCAAGTTTGCTCAACTCCTCATCCTCATCCTTCAGCCCTCCGCTACATGCACTCTCTCTTAATAGCAGCTACACGTAGATCTCTACTACATGTTCACGGGTGGCTCAGGGCAGTAATCTAGCAACTCTTTGCCTGTATATTTACTAGTAAGTCAGGTATAACTTTAAGACGCAGTGAATTTTGATTAAATATCAGTATATCATGTCTCCAGCTACTATAGTGAAAAAAGAGTCGCTCAAATCTGGATCACCATCACACTTATGACCTAACAATTTACACAAGCAACAGGGACAAGATACATTTAAAAAAAAAAAAAAAAAAATTAGAGAGAAATCACATCAAACCATTACTGCAGTCTCCTATCAAACCTGAGCTTTTGAGCTTTGAATAAGTATTTAACTTTTCATATCAGAAAAATAGCAAATCAAAGTGATTCTCAATGTATTTTTTACCCAAACCAAGATAAGGAACATTATTATTGAGTAAAAACCTGACCACTGAATGTTTCTCTGACCCTCTCTGAATGCCTATTGCATGTATTCTGTTCCAATTATGAACATAACCAATTACATAATTTTTTTTTCCTATTTCATACCAGAAGTTCCTACATTTGAAGCAGGTTTGTCACTGAAAGGATCAGTGGTAAAAGGAATTTTCAACATGTTAACCTTTTTAAAAAAAAAAACAAAAAAAACAGGTTTTAAAATGAGCTTAAATGTTTGGTGAAAGGAACTAAAGTGACAGACCTAGCAACTTAAGACTATCTACAAAAGGGACACCGCTGTCTGCTGATTGTCCTGCCAATGTACTTCATTCCTGACAAAGGGTGATCCGGATAGTTTTCGTAGCCTGATCCAGCCCCTGACTTTTGACTGGGACTGCCAACAATGGGTTGGTTCAGTGCAAACTGTAAGAGAGATTTTTGCACCTATTAATAGGGAGATGAAATGAGAGTCAACTAGCTGGTATTATATACACACAGGGGGGAAAAAAAAGACACTTTATCATCCATACTCTCCCTTGATTTGGCTAACCCTATGGTGCTTTGAGGTATTTTTTGATCCTTAGGAGAATTTTAGGCCTCTTAGGGTCCCAACTGCCAGCATCAAACCAGTATGGTGAAGGTAACCCAATTACTATTGAAAAGAAAAGGCAATAAAGTTCAGGGGGAGGGGGGTACCTGGCTCCAGTGGCACTCCTTCCCTCGTGATGATGCAGAGCAAATCTGCCAGTTCACCTTGGTAAATGGTCAGGTTGTCCGAATGCACCGAGACATTAAATACAGGACCTAAAAAGAGAGTATATTTAATCCTATTATGCATTTAAGATCCTTTGCTGACATTACCCCAAAGATTTTAAGTCAGTGTTCAAAACCACAGTATGCTAAGTTGTAAAGCACTCTGGGATCAGAAACAACATACTGTTAATCTACATCAGACTGAAGATTCAGGAAACCCTCCTGCACATATTTCTAGAAAATTAAGTTGACAGTCAACAAAAGGTGCCAACCGTGACAGCACTGAGGCTCTCTACTGATTCACAGAACCAGCACAGCCTGGTAGGAGCAGAGCAAGTCTACATTGCAGTCAGTGTCCCTCTTCTACACTGCCTCCCCCCAACTTTGTGAAGATCCCTGTATGGGTCAGAAGAGTCTGCATCACTCTTGAGCCCTTCTGCTTTAGCTGGTACCCTTGTACACAATCTGAGCCATCGATGCTTATGTGATATCGTCAGTTCCACTGGAAGCTGGAACAAAGACCAGATCATCTTTCAGAACAAACAACCTCTCTCATATAACAAATTTCCTATGGGTTGAGCTCTTGACTTTGCCAAAGAACAACTTGCATCAATGCAAGCAGGCCAAGACACATGCATCCAAATTCCTCTGGCTGTAAAAATGGTGATAACACTGATGCATCTCACTGCGGTGCTGTAAGATGCTTAGATATATGGACAGCCCCCACCAGGGAAGAGCCTATAAAGCAAAGCACACACTTGTGATGACCACCAAACCTATGCTGTAAGATTAATGACAGAGCACTGCTCATGCACTTTAACTTAACTTTTAGGCTGAACACTGAATGCTTGTTTTCTATTGACATAATAGAGGCGAGCAAGGGGAATCAGCCTCTATGGTTCTCTCCTTTGTTCTGTACCCCAATTTTCACTTTAAATGCCATACATTTCATATCCTTTTAGAGTTTAGAGTCCAGCCAAGCCAAGCTTGGTCTCTAATGGAAACCCTCCAATGTTCCTACAGGAAGCTGTGTTAGTCATTCAACCTGTACTTTTCCCTCAGGTTGCTACTGAACTAATGCTCTGGAACTGAATCAGAAGATACTGTGTGGCTGGAGGTGTAATTTTTTGGTTGAGATATTAGAGACCGCAGGGGCCCAACTACTTTGGTCAGTAGAGATTACTTGGCACATTTCATAAGAGCCAAATTCCAATTAAATTGAAGTAATTACTTTGTGGCTTCCTCAATTCCCCCTACAGTTTCATCTGTGCACAATTTTCTTTACTTTGTCATTAACTGCAGCATGTAATATTCTTATGTGCCATTAAGCCAGGGGTGGGCAATTATTTTGGCTGGAGGGACGCTTAACAAGTTTTGGTAAGTTGCTGCGGGTGGCAAGGGTAGCCCCACCCCTTGACAGGTGCCCTGGCCCCCGGTCACTTTCTTGGGACTGGAAGTTCTGCCCCTAACCCACTGAACTTTGCCACCAGAAGTCCCTCCCCTCGTTCCCCACAAGTATTCATTTTGGGAAGGGGATTTGCAATCTTAGAACCAGGAAAAAAAATTATATACTAAAAATCAAACATCTACAATAACATATTTTAATTTTATTTCAAATAATATTTTTGTCCTGATTTATGTGTTTGTGTCGTATATATAGAGGTGATTGCATAATGGCTCAAAATGAAGTCTTATGCTTGTATATTGTGGAGGGGGCGGTGGAGGAGTGTGGGGGGTATGGGTGTGTGTGTGTGTGTGTGTGTGTGTGTGTGTGTGTGTGTGTGTGTGTGTGTGTGTGGGCGAGGATGTGAGGGTATGTATGGGTGGGTGGAGGAGTATGGGGGGGTTGTGGGGTGTGGGAGGCTGGCTGGGGTGTGTGTGGCAGGGGTGTGGTGGTTGTGGGTGAGTGTGGGACCCCCCCCACACAAACCTGCCCTCCCATTGCACACAGCTCCTGCTGGCGAGCCCCAGGACTGCACATGGCCAGGCCACCAGCTCCATCGCACGAGGTTCACTTGCCTGAGCCCTGTCCTGTTTGGGGGAACCCCGCGTGATGAAGCCAGTTGTGCAGGTCGTGGGGCTTGGGTGGGGGCAGAGCCAGCGCAGCTCTACAACGTGGAGCTCCCTACCGTTCCCATGACCTGCGCATAGCAGTGAGTGGGGCCAGGCCACCGGCTCCATCATGCAGGGCTCCCCCAAAAGGCGTGCAACTCGGTTGACGATCCCTGGAACTACATGCGAGCCTCGCACAATGGAACCAGGTAAACCTCGCGCCCCCACCAGCCCAGGCTCCATGCTCCTGGTGCCCTGCCCTGGGTCCCCACTGGCCCTGGCCCCAGGGCACTGCGCTTCCATTCAGCTGCCACTTTGCTCTTGCCCACCCGCTGCCACCACATCCACCCCGCCCTTGCCGCCACCCTTTCCCTGCTGCTTCCCTACCTTCCCACCTGCCTACTGCCCGCCCACTTGCCACAGCCACTATTACTTACTTCCCTTGCCTGCTGTTGCTTCCCTACCTGCAGGGCTGGGGTCAGGGCTGTCCTGCAGGCAATGGTAGGAGCACAGTGTGCTCTGCTCCCACAGGAATGAGCAGGGCTCAGCCTCATGCAAGCACAGCAGGGGCAGCCTCGGGCAGGGCCAGACAGTGAATTGGTAGGCACTCACCTGCAGGCTGAATGAAATCGCCTAGTGGGCCAGCCTGTGGCCTGTATTTTATCTGCCTCTGCATTTAATGCTTCTATTTTCTGCCCCAGAAGTAGCTGCATTTCAGCAATGACAAAGCAATCGATGCATATAGTGTTTTTTTTCAAATTACTTTCCATGGAAAGGCACATGTTAAACAGTAACCTATCCCTCAAAAATGGAGATAAGAGACCTGAGAGAAACATCAGAGGTCAAATGAACTATTGACTGATATTTTTAAAAAAGCTGCCTGAACATATTTAAGGAAATAAATACTGTAGTATGAAGTTCAGATACATTGGTGATGGCTGCCTTATAGCTGCATTAGTAGGTTACATTCATAATTAAAGAGTTTTAATGTGTTAAGACCTTGTGGGGGGGAGGGGGGAGGGAAGGAGTTTAATGTGACCTTTTTCCTCAGATTCTCCCCAAGCCCTTTCTATGAAAACTCAGTTTGTTTCCTGAGACAGCCAGCAACCTCACTTCCATTACAAGCCTTGTTGTAGAGTTTATCCTCCTGCTAAAACAAATCAAGGGTTCTTCTGTTCAGTCTTTAGTGAGCTATAGAGCTAGACGTTAAAAATCAAGATCAACCACAGCATTTTGGCTAGCGCTTTCTCCATTTTATAAATGTAAATAAAAATCCCCAGTCATCTACGAGCAATAGTATCAGCAGAAGGCTAATGGCTGACTGCCACATTTGCCTGATGCATCGCTGTTCTTCCAGTCTCCAATGCACTACAGCGTAGACCCGACACGAGCAGAACCTAAACTAAATGCCATTACATATGCATCCCAGTCTAAGTAATGGCAGCACTTCAGGCATTAGGAAATGAACTCCTTCACCAGGGCAAGAAGAAAATGTGTTCCGTAGATCCTGACACCAAAACTAATTACAGAAAGAAAACTTTAATTTGTGTTCCTGTACATACCACCTCTTCTCTAAAGGCTACTGAAGAAGAGTGAGTTAGATAAGAATCATCTGATCCTTGTCTATTGCTTTGTCCTGGTGAGGATATGCCACACACATGAAGAACAGCCTTGCTACTCTACTACTGGGTATAGATGCAAAGGGGTGAGTTAAGAAAGAACAGTGCAGACTGAGAGTTATATTCTCAGCACTAACACTGTACAGTAAAGATTAAGCCATTTGCAATCGACTTAATTTGATGGACGTGAGTTGCAGCCCCCAGCATATTGTAGACACAGTATCCCAACTGCGTAGGGTTCGAACACCCCTCCCCCATAAAATCAGAAGTCAAAGTGCAATATTTCATATCTCCATGCAACTTTCCTGCTTTCTGGCTGGTAGCCATGCCTCACATTTGTTGCTGGTGTGAAAAGTTCACGCCTGAGGGGCAAATATTGAATCAATAAAAGGGAGGTGAAGAAGAGCTTCTCCGTTATTTAATAATCATACTTCCCACTGGTGACCACAGTAACCTGTTCCCTGCCAGAATTCTCATCTCCTACAACTAAATCTATGCTTTCAAGAATTTTTCATTTGAAGTTCAAGGAAAACAGCAGGAAGGCTGAACTGAAATACACCTCTGTCACAAGGCCTGGATTTCAACAGAAAGCCCCAACATACCTCAGGGAGCACTGTCTTCCCCTGATGCAACTGAGAGATAAAAAGCTTGGGTTTTCTCTCTTTAAGACTGTTTTCAGCAAGTTTTTCATGGTATGAAGCTGCTGTATTGACAGTCCTGGAGATTCTATCCACACAGTTATAACATAGGTAGGAGCATCTTTGCCAGGAGGCACCATCCCACGCTTTCCATCAACACACTTCGTGGCCCTAGTCTGAGACCACTCATTTCAGGGAAGAAAAAGATAGCTAGTTGTGGTTCACTCAGTTCTTTGACCCTGCAGAAACTTCAATCAACGTGAACAATTCATGGCTATGGTTATTATATGGACACTTGGTAACCAAGAGTGGACTGATTGGGCCACAGAAACCATGAACCCATCATTAGAAGGTAAAATGTGCCTCAAAGATCTGGACAGGATATCATTTCAACAAAAAAAAGCTGCTGCAGAATGCCCCATAATCTCATTAGAAATCTTCTGCAGCCACCAGTGCCTCAATTGCATTTAACTGTGCTTTCTTTAAAAAAAAAAGTAAACTTTACTACTTTTATTGGGAGTGAGACCTCCCTGATTTATGTTCTCCAATTTAATCAGTTTGCCCTACCTGGTAATAGGAAAAGCTGAGCAGAATTAACTGTGAACCTTTTTCAATTGGGATCTGATAATAACTGAAGCACACGAAGTACCATTATCAGGAGATTTGATTTTGGAGAACCCCAATAAAAGCATCTTGGCAGGCATTAGCATTATAGCAACAACCACTGCTTTTAGACATACCT